TGAACAATCATTTGTACACATGCAAATCCAGATTTTTTTTTTTTTCAGTTTCTTCAACAACATAGCATCAACGAATGGGGATATTTTGAGAGAGGAAACAATTATTTGATTGGTCGTATGTCCTTCGTGAGATGCCAGTTTTTGATTGGTCAGATCTCCAAGGAGAGAATGACCTTTTCTTTTTTTGAAAGGCTTGTTAAGTGACGACATCAAAAACCCTTTGTTGAACTGAAGCCTTAGGTAGTTCTCTTAAACCGATCCCAAACATTTCAGATGGCTTTCCATGTAATAAGATTGTCCTAATTAGTGAAGTGCTTTATACCCACAGAGTAGCATTGAATTACCAACCAAGTCTGAAGAACGAAGGATCAAAATTGAGCTGGAAAGAGAATTTTAGCTTTGTGCCCACGGGTCCTTTCTTACAGGGTTTAGGGTCCTTTCTTACAGGGTTTAGTTGCCACTGATAGGGGAAAATGGGGACAAAATTATAGGACTTTTTAAATGCCGCAAAGTGAAATGGACCATTCAAGAGTTTATCGTCTTCTTTTAACAAGCAGCTTGCCGGCAGGATTAAAAAATAATAGAGAACTTATCATCAATGTGTATCACTTATCATCATCAATGTGTATCACTTATCATCATCAATGTGTATCACTTATCATAAAGGTGTATCGTTTCCATTGTAGAATATATAGTAAATAATTCTAGCTGCTTATGGTGGGGCGTGCAAACAGATTGCGTGTTATAGTGTAGTCAAGGTGGCTTAAGAAATTAAAGATAGATAAAGAGAGAAAGCGAGAGAGAGAGAGAGAGAGAGAGAGAGAATGTGTGCGTGTATGTGTGCGTGAGAGAGACAGAGAGAGAAAGAGAGTAAGAAGAATAAAGCGACGAAGCAACACGATATTCTAAATGGGACCAAACATTTGATAGAAGGCTTAGAGACTTGCACAGCGTAGTTCTATAAAATGACAAATTGAATGAACAGTTTCTAAGAATGAGTTACATGAGAACGTGATGCTATCAGATAATGGCACTGAGCATGAGCCGCATCTCTAGGAGTGAGACATGATTTCATTAGGCACGATCACGCTGTCACTACAGGCACATGCAGATGTATATGTTTGGTTGGTATCACCCTCAGTTCTGTTGTTGAAAGTGTCAAGAGGTGATCGGAACTACTTTTTTCAGAAGCTGTGAAACATAAGGAAAGATGACTGAACGTCTTTACATTAAGTAAGGCAACATTCACCCCCTGAGATTAATGCGCGATATAAAAATAACTTATTCAGTTCTGGATTTAAAGTAGTTACAGTACCTTAAAATAAGTGAATCATCATCAATTTATGGCGAGTTTTACAGAAGAATAAAAATTTAATCGTGTTCATAAAATAGTATTGATGACGTGACAAAGACGGACAAGATGATTTTTAAAAAAACATAACCAAATGTATCCAGGTTTTTCGTGAGCTATTCATGAGCAACACATCATTATTTGTGCAACGCCCAACCCCTTTTTGCTACGCCTTTCTTTCTCGGGGGGGGGGGGGGATGTACTCGCAGCGATATTTAAATGAAACGATATTTTAAGGTAACTTTTTCAATTTCCAGTTGTATCAAAGAAATACTTTAAAAAAAAATAAAGAAATAGCTTTAAAAAAAAAAAGTAGCATTGAATTGATTGAAAAGTTCGTCACTATAAAATAGAAATCTCCGAGGAGAATGAATTGTTTTTAGAACCTTTGGTATCGCACAAACTTTTTTTTTTTTTTTAAAGATATATTTAACACCAAAAAGAAATCACCAGAAATTATAGTCCTGGAGTTTCAAGATTTAACGACCGCATCCTACCCCCTCACGTTATAAAGAAGATGTGTTCCATTTGTGTGACCAGGGCCCTAGAAATCAATAGCCCTGGAGGGGATACAGATAGGGAGCCGGTACCGTCTCAGATGTCTCAATGTTAGATTTCAATGGGATGTGGGTCACAACAAAAGAACTGGTATTTATGATCGCTTTAAATTATAGACTTTACTTTTAATGGAGGGAAAATTTCCCCCAGCTATCTAACGTGTGGCTATCCCTTGATTTGAAAAAAAAAAAACAACAAAAAAACAAAAATCACTAGAATTTTTTTTTTTTTTCGTAAACTAGGAATTTAGTTTTTCTGTAAACTAGAATTTAAATTTTTTGTTAACTAAAATGGAGGGTTTTTTTGTAAACTAAATGTAGATTTAAAAAAAATTAAAATAAAAAAAAACACTAAAATGTAGGTTTCTTGTAAACTAGAATTTAGGTTTCTGTAAATCAGAATTTAGGTTTCTGTAAACTAGAATGTAGGTTTCGGTAAATAGGTTCAAATTGAGGGCGGAAGAACCCTTAACAATAAGTCACCTGCTATTTTCTGGTCTGAACAATTGTTGTGCTATGGACAGATAAAGTACCAACAATTTTAAAAGGTGACATCATTTGGTAAAAACTTGTGTTCCAATCAGAAATGTCCAACAGGAGCTGATGTGAAACATTTCTTATCACTACGAAATCGTCTGACAGCCGTGTCCTGTCTGAACACACAGTTCAAGCCGATTACGTTGTTGTCCGGCAAAGCAATGAGATTTCATGGATGGTGTAGTTGATACCTCCATAGTCCGGCAAAGCAATAAGATCGCATTGATGCTGTAGTTGATACCTCCATAGTCCGGCAAAGCAATGAGATCGCATTGATGCTGTAGTTAATACCTCCATAGTCCGGCAAAGCAATGAGATCGCATTGATGCTGTAGTTGATACCTCCATAGTCCGGCAAAGCAATGAGATCGCATTGATGCTGTAGTTGATACCTCCATAGTCCGGCAAAGAAGCAATAAGATCGCATTGATGCTGTAGTTGATACCTCCATGAAATTAGAAAAACCTGCTATAAAATGGTACGCAAGTTAACACTAAATTCAGAACGTATAGCCTTCAAATACCATGGTTTTGCCACAATTAGGCCAACTGCCAAAAGGGATTGGGGAAGGGGAGGGGGGAGAACCCCCCCAGGAATTCTTCAGTCCGCTAGATTGTCACGTGACAGGCGATATCACATCGTGTGAATGACATTTCAGCTGGTGGCAAATTATTTGCCGGGTGGAGGGGGTGGACGGTGAGAAGAGCGGTGGCAATGGTTGAGCACGGAGGGACTGGCACGAACCACCAGGCGTCTCAGGTTGGTCTCATGTCGACTGGTGACAGCGGGGCGGGAAGAGTTGACAACGCGATGAACATGGCAGCCAGGCCAGAATAATGGCAGCAAGGCGGCAGGATTCTTTTATTATTTTTTTTGTTTGTTCATCCAGTTAGAAATTACTGGGAGTTAATTCATCCGTAGAGTAATACTGAATAAATAACACAGTCGGCACGCAAGGGATGGAAATAATGATGTGTCGACCTTTGACCCAGATAAACCAAATGTCAAAACATCAATATACAAACTGAAAGCCAGGTAAAATGGGATCTGATAGTGTTGTATATTATATAATGAAATCATTGGTTTCAACAGAAGAAAATGGATTGGTTTAAAATTACTTTAGGAAGAGAAATACGGGGTGTGGGAGGGGGGAGAGAGAGGGGGTGGAGAGAGATAGAGCGAATGAGAGAGAGAGAGTGGGAGAGAGAGAGCAAAATAGAAGATAGAGAGAGAGAGAGAAATGAAAGAAGAGAAAAAATACAGATGGTCTGAGAAGAGAAAAAATGAAAATTGAACACGGTTGATATATGTATACATTGTGTGATATAAAACTAAGACAAACTCGGGGTTAAGGCTTTGACATCTTGCAGTATGACGCATTGGTGTTGTGTGACGACACAACCTATATCAATTGAGACCACCAATACACACCATGACATGCACAATACAACATCCAAACACACACAGCTGTACACGCACACAACGCAGCATCCATACACACACTCGCTATACACGTACACAGTGCATCACACATGCACACACACGCATTACAGTGCAGTAATTATCATTGGACTTGAGTATTGGCAAAAGTCAGGCAGTGTGTGCCTCTTTCTGGACATATTCATTAATGACATACCACGTGACATGTTTGAACAATGCTTCCAGTGAGGATAAATAAATGGCATAACCACGCAGCAATCGATTTTCTCGTACAACACTGGCTGTTTGGACTAAGATATAGGTGTGGTGAGACTAAGATATAGGTGTGGTGAGACTAAGATAAGGGTGTTTTGAGACTTGAGACTAAGATAACGGTGAGTTGGGACTAAGATACGTGTGTTTTGGGACTAACTTACTGGTGAGTTGGGACTAAAAAATGGGTTTTTTGGGACTATGATGTGGATGTGTTTGGTCTGAAACGGGACTGTGTCGAGACTAAAATGTGACTGTTGCGTGACTAAACTTTGGCTGAGTTGAGAATGAGCAAATTTGGACTGAACCTTACTTTTTTTTTAACAGTTCAACTTCACCAATGAAAGAGATGTAAAGGAAGTTAAAACATTATTTGTGAAATACAAAAATTCTTTTGACGTAATGAAATCACGAGAGGTCTACAAATATTTAAAAAAAAAAAAAACAAATTAAAAAAATTTAAAATTAACAATTGACATATCTGGAAAAAAATTGTTAATTATTTAATCTTTTCACTTAGAATTTGAAAGTGAAACAGAGTTAAATAAACACTTTCCTATAACGGCTATTGAGCTGAATTGTGGATTATTGAAAACAAATCCTTGTCTCTGCCGGCTCAGCATTATTTTTATGTTTGCTCCTGCATTCAAGAAGGTCTCAACTATAACATGTTTTGGTGTAAGGGTTTAGAGAATCATTCATGTATTCATACATTATTTTTATGTTTGCTCCTGCATTCAAGAAGGTCTCAACTATAACATGTTTTGGTGTAAGGGTTTAGAGAATCATTCATGTATTCATACATTATTTTTATGTTTGCTCCTGCATTCAAGAAGGTCTCAACTATAACATGTTTTGGTGTAAGGGTTTAGAGAATCATTCATGTATTCATACATTATTTTTATGTTTGCTCCTGCATTCAAGAAGGTCTCAACTATAACATGTTTTGGTGTAAGGGTTTAGAGAATCATTCATGTATTCATACATTATTTTTATGTTTGCTCCTGCATTCAAGAATTCTCAACTATAACATGTTTTGGTGTAAGGGTTTAGAGAATCATTCATGTATTCATACCTTATTTTTATGTTTACTCCTGCATTCAAGAATTCTCAACTATAACATGTTCTGGTGTATAGGGGTTTAGAGAATCATTCATGTATTCATACATTATTTTTTGAAAGCTCACAATTTTTAAATGGTCAAATGTCTTTTCTTCCATGTTTAAAAAAAAAAAGGGAGGCTTCAAATAAAATACACGGATCAAATTATTTATATGTATAATACAATCAACAATATGCAACTTTTAAATATGTTTTTATACACACTTTTTTTGTTTTGCCATTCTCTTATTCATACTTTTCTTCTTCTCAAAAAAAAAAAAACAACAACAAAACACACACACACACAAACAACAACAAACAAACACAAAAATCCCAGCAAATTCAGACCCTTAGGTCTCCATCTTCTGAGCAAGCACATACACACTCATCAAAATGACCCTTAGATCTCTATCTTCTGAGCAAGCACATACACACTCATCAACATGTCCCTTAGATCTCCATCTTCTGGGCAAGCACATACACACTCATCAACATGTCCCTTAGATCTCCATCTTCTGAGCAAGCACATACACACTCATCAACATGTCCCTTTCGTACACCCATTCACACCCCGCCCCTCAGCTCGCCACGTCCGAGCTGTTGTGGTGGTTTATCATTTTAATCCTGTTTTCATCCGCTTCGTTCATGATGTAGACGCTGTTGGGCCCCCGCTTATTGTTTATCTCGTCGGGGACGGAGTAGTGGTCATCCTGCCTCAGCCGTTCCCGCCGCTTGTAATAGAAATGGAACACTGTCACGCTGATCAGAAGCGTTAAAAGAAACGTGCCGACGACGGCGCCGATGATGTCCACCACACCGAAGTAGCGGTCGATGTCTTTTTTGTGAGCGGCGGCCACAACCGGTTTCTCCTCGGACTTCATCTTGCTGCTCTCCGAGTTGATCCCGCCCCAGTCGTAGACCTCCGAGTCGTCCCCGGCGAAATCTTTGATGTAACTTTTCTTGGCCGGGGCGCTCGTGGTGTCGTCCCGTATGACGTTGTTGCTGATTTTGGGCGGCTTCGTGGGCTTCGGCGTGGGCGGCGGCCTAAGGTCGGGCCACACGACGTTGAGGGAGAAGGTGACGTTGCCGGCCGGGTTGCTGGCCACGCATTTGTACAGGTCTTTGTTTTCGAGCTTGACGTCCGTCATGAACATGACGCCCATGTTCTCGCGGCCGACGTTGTCGGGTCGGGGGTAGTAGGTTTCGGTGGTGCCGTCGGGTCGGATCCAGTAGAGGGTGGGGGCCGGGTCGCCGTGGGCCTGGCAGGTGAACTTCCCCATTTTGGTGTCGAAGACGGCGTCCACGTTCTGAAAGGTGGGGAGCTCGCACCTGAAATCGTCGTCCGTTAGATCGTCGAAGTTTTTGTTTTTAACGAGCCGCGGACTGCCGCACTGAGGCTGCTCCGCCCCAGCAAACAGGGAGTTTTTGGAGCTTTTGTAAAAGGCGAAGAGCCACTTGATTTCACAGTTGCAGTGAAACGAATTGCCGCCCAGCCGAATGTGGGCGAGCTTTCTGAAGAAGTAGAGCCACTTTTCGCTGAAGGCCTCGAAATTATTTCCGTGCAGCCACAGCGTTTTGAGGGAGCCGTTCAGAGGCGTCATCAAATCAACGGGGAGCCGCCTCTGGCCGCAGTTGTGCATGTACAGCCCTTGGGTTGTCATGCCCGCGAAGGCCCCGATGGCGAGCTGTATTTCCGGGTTGTCGTTGATGAACAGATGTTTCAAGTTAAGGCCCCTGAACGTGTAGTCCGCGACGAAGCGAATGTTGTTTTTGCTCACGTCCAGCCAGGTGAGCTGGGTGAGGTCAGCGAACGTGTCCACGGCGATGGTCTCTATGCCACAATCACTCAAATACAAATTCTGAAGCTTGTACAGATCCGTGAAATTTCTCCGCGTCAGCGCCGTGTTTTTGAATTTATTCTCATTGAGATTCAACTCCAGCGTTTCCAAGGGAATCCCGTCGGGGATTTTGAGGAAATTTTTGTTGGCGCACTGGACATTTTTACTGTGCGGGGCACAGAAGCAATCCTTAGGGCATGTGAAAGTCGTGTGGACCTGGGTACTGAAGATGACCACAAGAAATATGACACTCACCCCTTTTCCCCACGCACAGACTCCTACACCACATTTCATGACTTTGGTTTTCCTGGTACCATCACTTGACACAGAGACAAATCCAAGATGTCGAATCCATCAGCACCATAAAATATAAAATCCAAGAGAAAGAATTTTGCATTGGAATAAATAATCCGCACAGAAATCCACATCAATCCGTACAACGAATGCAAAACTCCACAACTTTCCGAGGGGAGAAAAAATGTAAACACAGGTTTCCTAATGTTATACCACAACCGATTCCCGCTACATCGTTACTTCTCCTCTCCCTCGAACACTTTTACACTGGTCTTCTGTAAGCCTGGCGGAAATCGGGCCCAGCAGCATTATAAAAGGGAGGGCTTTTTTTTCCCCCGCCATCGCGACCCTTCGCCGCTCTCACAGTACTGTATGGATGGTTGGTCGTGGTGCTGCCCCCCTCTCACAACGGCGCTACAACGTCGATTGACGGTTCGTTCGGCTGAGTCGTCGCGTGGCCTCGGATGAACCGACCCGATGTACATTCCAAGGCCTCGGGTCATGCCTTGAACTGGGGATTGAAAGATCATTTCTATAACCACAAGGCTTAAGTTTATTATGCTGTCATTATTGGAAACAGATTGAACACACACAAGAAGAAAAAAGTGGTGGGGTGGGCAGCTTTGAAGTTTGCTTCCATGCATAATAAAAAAAATCACGACTTTATTTGAACTTTGAGAACAGACATAAAAAGATATAGGGCCTATATCTCTTAGGGACCAACCTGCAAGCCATTGCTGGTTGTATCGATCAGACAGGGAAATCGCTCTCATTGTAGTAGGACAATTCGGGGACACAACGATAGGACCCCTGGGTATAGATTCATCTCCTGCGCCCTTCTTTTCTCTGAAATTAGTACACGCGAGCGATATTTCAACAACCCATGTAGGGATTTAAAACATGTGCTATTCTTAGTGGGGAGATTAGTGGTCTCACATCGTAGTGTTTTAACCTGTGATACGTATTAGTGGTCATAGTAGTGGTAGTGTATGAGTCTAGCAAGGAGACATGATCAATAACTATAGTGAGTCATGACCTAACTCGCCACCTCTCAGCGGGGTACAGTACCAGCCAGTGGCAGCTGTCGAGCAAAGTCTTGTGAACTCACACACGGCACGCATAGTTCAATTGTACGTAAAAACAACAAAGAACCCACTGGCGTGTTGCATTGGGAATAGTTTGGAGAACGTTATCAAGGAAAACGTATTTAGTTACTCCCACAGAAAGACCACCGTAGTTGAAAAATTGAATAGGAAGACATGAAGAGGCATTAATTTTATCACTCCTGGTTGGGTTGATTTTTATTCTATCGTCCAGGGCACTTTCAACGTGCTGTAAAACTTAAGATAAATAGGTCAAAATAATTATATAAATTCAAATAGTAGTTTTCTTGTTCAGACCATCATAAGACATCTCAATTCCAGTGCTACCAGCACAACAACATCTAGTGCTACCCGCACATGCCCAGCAACATCCAATGCTACCTGCTCATGACCCGCAACATACAGTGATACCTGTACATGACCAGCAAGATACAGTGCTACCTGCTCATGACCCGAAACATACAGTGCTACCTGCTCATGACCCGCAACATACAGTGCTACCTGTACATGACCAGAAAAATACAGTGCTACCTGCACACGCCTTGCAACATCCAGTGCTACCTGCTCATGACCAGCAACATCCAGTGCTACCTGCTCATGACCCGCAACATACAGTGCTACATGTACATGACCAGCAACATACAGGGCTACCTGCACACGCCCCGCAACATGCAGTGCTACCTGCTCATGACCAGCAAAATACAGTGCTACCTGCAAATGGCCAGCAACATCTAGTGCTAACTTCACATCACAAACAAAACACAGCGCTACACATTCTTGACACAGGGATCGACAAACCTACGGCACGCGGGCCAAAGTTGGCACGCCCAACAGCTTTCAATAGGACGCGGGAGATCAGAATACGAGAATAAAAAAAAGACATAAATTGAGTCTTTTATGGTTGAATTACAGGTTGTTGGCACGCTGAACGAAGTATAAATCCTAATTGGACACAATATTTGAATATTACCAAAAAATTTTCCGAGCCCTGGTGTTAAACATGTTGACATCCGATATATGACATATTTTTTCTTCTATTTAACCAGATGACAAATGTACGATCTTTGCTGAACCCTATCTCGTGGGTCTGGGCGTCATTTCTATAGCTAAAGTTCTTTTGTTGTGGTTTTCTCAGTGGATTCAGCACAACAAGGGCGGCGATATCCACAATGTGGTCTAGTAAGGTCACATTGGTGAACAAAGCAGGGTGGCAGAGGCTTGTGAGGACGAACGTTTTAAAGGGGCACTTCAGGACTAATGTCCTGGCCGCACGGTAAGTGGGGAAGTTACCAGGGCATCACTTTTGTATGAAGGGTGTTGATAGTGCTTTAGCTAGGGTAGGATGGATGGTTGGTGGTGGTTTAGCTAGGGTAGGACGGATTGTTGAAAATGGTCTAGCTACGGGGGGATAAATTGTTAATGGTCTAGCTAGGGTGGGATGGATTGTTGATAGTGGTCTAGCTAGAGTGCGATGGCTTGTTGATAGTGGTCCAGCTGGGGTTAGATTGATTGTTGATAATGGTCTAGCTAGGATGGGAGGGATTGCTGATGGTGGTCTAGCTAGGATATATGTAATTGATTGTAAATGGTGGCCTAACTAGGATGTATGTAATTGATTGTTGATTGTGCTCTGGTTGGGAGGTATGTAATTGACTGTTGATTGTGCTCTGGCTAGGATGTATGTAATTGATTGTTAATTGTGCTCTGACTAGCATATATGTAATTGATTGTTGATTTTGCTCTGGCTAGGATGTATGTAATTGATTGTTAATGGTGGCCTAACTAGGATGTATGTAATTGATTGTTGATTGTGCTCTGGTTGGGAGGTATGTAATTGATTGTTTATTGTGCTCTAACTAGGATGTATGTAATTGATTGTTGATTGCGCTCTGACTAGGATGTATGTAATTGATTGTTAATTGTGCTCTGGCTAGGATGTATGTAATTGATTGTTAATTGTGCTCTGACTAGGATGTATGTAATTGATTGTTGATTGTGCTCTGACTAGGATGTATGTAATTGATTGTTAATTGTGCTCTGGCTAGGATGTATGTAATTAATTGTTAATTGTGCTCTGACTAGGATGTATGTAATTGATTGTTGATTGTGCTCTGAATAGGATGTATGTAATTGATTGTTAATTGTGCTCTGGCTAGGATGTATGTAATTGATTGTCTATTGTGCTCTGACTAGGATGTATGTAATTGATTGTTAATTGTGCTCTGGCTAGGATGTATGTAATTGATTGTTAATTGTGCTCTGACTAGGATGTATGTAATTGATTGTTGATTGTGCTCTGGCTAGGATGTATGTACTTGATCGTTGATTGTGCTCTGGCTAGGATGTATGTAATTGATTGTTAATTGTGCTCTGGCTAGGATGTATTTAATTGATTGTTGATTGTGCTCTGGCTAGGATATATGTAATTGATTGTTGATTGTGCTCTGACTAGGATGTATGCAATTGATTGTTGATTGTGCTCTGGCTAGGATATATGTAATTGATTGTTGATTGTTCTCTGACTAGGATGCATGCAATTGATTGTTAGGTTGATTGTGCTCTGGCTAGGATGTATGTAATTGATTGTTGATTTTGCTCTGGCTAGGATGTATGTAATTGATTGTTAATTGTGCTCTGAATAGCATATATGTAATTGATTGTCTATTGTGCTCTGACTAGGATCTATGTAATTGATTGTTAATTGTGCTCTGGCTAGGATGTATGTAATTAATTGCTAATTGTGCTCTGACTAGGATGTATGTAATTGATTGTTGATTGTGCTCTGGTTGGGAGGTATGTAATTGACTGTTGATTGTGCTCTGGCTAGGATGTATGTAATTGATTGTTAATTGTGCTCTGACTAGCATATATGTAATTGATTGTTGATTTTGCTCTGGCTAGGATGTATGTAATTGATTGTTAATTGTGCTCTGGCTAGGATGTATGTAATTAATTGTTAATTGTGCTCTGACTAGGATGTATGTAATTGATTGTTAATTGTGCTCTGGCTAGGATGTATGTAATTAATTGTTAATTGTGCTCTGACTAGGATGTATGTAATTGATTGTTGATTGTGCTCTGAATATGATGTATGTAATTGATTGTTAATTGTGCTCTGGCTAGGATGTATGTAATTGATTGTCTATTGTGCTCTGACTAGGATGTATGTAATTGATTGTTAATTGTGCTCTGGCTAGGATGTATGTAATTGATTGTTGATTTTGCTCTGACTAGGATGTATGTAATTGATTGTTGATTGTGCTCTGGCTAGGATGTATGTACTTGATCATTGATTGTGCTCTGGCTAGGATGTATGTAATTGATTGTTGATTGTGCTCTGACTAGGATGTATGCAATTGATTGTTGATTGTGCTCTGGCTAGGATATATGTAATTGATTGTTGATTGTTCTCTGACTAGGATGCATGCAATTGATTGTTATATGTAATTGATTGTTGATTGTGCTCTGACTAGGATGTATGCAATTGATTGTTGATTGTGCTCTGGCTAGGATATATGTAATTGATTGTTGATTGTTCTCTGACTAGGATGCATGCAATTGATTGTTCATTGTGCTCTGGCTATGATATATGTAATTGATTTTTTTTTACTTGTGCTCTGGCTAGGATGTATGCAATTGATTGTTGATTGTGCTCTGGCTATGATATATGTAATTGATTGTTGATTGTGCTCTGACTAGGATGTATGTAATTGATTGTTGATAGTGCCCTGACTAGGATGTATTTAATTGATTGTTGATTGTGCTCTGACTAGGATGTATGTAATTGATTGTTAATTGTGCTCTGACTAGGATGTATGTAATTTATGGTTGATTGTGCTCTGGCTAGGATGTATGTAATTGATTGTTGATTTTGCTCTGGCTAGGATGTATGTAATTGATTGTTAATTGTGCTCTGAATAGCATATATGTAATTGATTGTCTATTGTGCTCTGGTTGGGAGGTATGTAATTGACTGTTGATTGTGCTCTGGCTAGGATGTATGTAATTGATTGTTAATTGTGCTCTGACTAGGATGTATGCAATTGATTGTTGATTGTGCTCTGGCTAGGATATATGTAATTGATTGTTGATTGTTCTCTGACTAGGATGCATGCAATTGATTGTTCATTGTGCTCTGGCTATGATATATGTAATTGATTT